ATTGCGCAATATCGTATGTGATATTTCAGAGAAAATATATATGATCTTTAAGTGGGTACTCACAAGTGTAGAGTCAAAATGTATTGACTCAATTTCATAGCGTTGTGCAAATTCGGGACTGCACTCCCCATTCAATATAACGATATCGGGAACCAGGATCATTCAAAAATAAAAACAATTATTTATTTAATACACTCATATACATAAATAAAATAGCCACAATGTGCTTAAAAATACCGGGACGCGTTTCGCCACTACCGACGTGGCTTCTTCAAACCGGATTGTAATCCTGGAACTCCTCCTCTTAAGTTTAAATATACACAGAAACGGCGGGCAAATTCCACAGCACCTTAACCGTCACACGTCGGTACCACCCACAGGTACGACGTGTGCGGTCCATGCCTCCCTTTCATGTTGGTACCGGGAGCAGAGATGCTTATATTTTTTCTTGTCATTCCAATTCGTCTTGGTTTTTCAATAGCTGATATATACCTTAAAGATTCATCGTTTGGTATTAAAATTGAATCCTCTACTGTCCTCAAAAGTCCATCTGACGAAGAAAAATATTTATTCTCATATATAAAAAAGGAGAGAAAACAAAAAATAGAAACAAGAAAACAAGAAACAGCATCAGTTTTCTTATTGTTACAAATATTTCAATCTCTTTCATCTGTAACATTTAGTTTTGTCAATTCTAGTTCACAATGACACTATAATGGATACATTGTCAGTCTTAGTTATCTATCAACATTTTTTCATTTCGATTTTAATACAATCAATAATAATAAAGACCCCAAATAAAATTGTAGTACTATTACATATCCCCTTTCTTTAAAATATATTGGGGATAGACAAAATAGTGACTGATCTTTGGATTCTATTCTTAAATATCCACAATCATTTATAAATTGTTTTCTAAACAGCAAGTTAATTAACTAATTACAAAAAAGATTAAAATATTGCAAAATAATTATTATTGTGGATATTTAAGAATAGAATACAAAGATGAGTCACTATTTTGTCTATCCCCAATATATTTTAAAGAAAGGGGATATGTAATAGTACTACAATTTTATTTGGGGTCTTTATTATTATTGATTGTATTAAAATCGAAATGCAAAAATGTTGATAGATAACTAAGACTTACAATGTATCCATTATAGTGTCATTGTGAACTAGAATTGACAAAACTAAATGTTACAGATGAAAGAGATTGAAATATTTGTAACAATAAGAAAACTGATGCTGTTTCTTGCTTTCTTGTTTCTATTTTTTGTTTTCTCTCCTTTTTTATATATGAGAATAAATATTATTCTTCGTCAGATGGACTTTTGAGGACAGTAGAGGATTCAATTTTAATACCAAACGATGAATCTTTAAGGTATATATCAGCTATTGAAAAACCAAGACGAATTGGAATGACAAGAAAGAATATAAGCATCTCCGCTCCCGGTACCAACATGAAAGGGAGGCATGCACCGCACACGTCGTACCTGTGGGTGGTACCGACGTGTGACGGTTAAGGTGCTGTGGAATTTGCCCGCCGTTTCTGTGTATATTTAAACTTAAGAAGAGGAGTTCCAGGATTATTGTTGCTTTTTTACAATCCGGTTTGAAGAAGCCACGTCGGTAGTGGCGAAACGCGTCCCGGTATTTTTAAGCACATTGTGGCTATTTTATTTATGTATATGAGTGTATTAAATAAATAATTGTTTTTATTTTTGAATGATAATGGTTCCCGATATCGTTATATTGAATGGGGAGTGCAGTCCCGAATTTGCACAACGCTATGAAATTGAGTCAATACATTTTGACTCTACACTTGTGAGTACCCACTTAAAGATCATATATATTTTCTCTGAAATATCACAAACGATATTGCGCAATTTGGTGTATTTCTATCCATCTACAGACCTCAGGAACATATTGTGAGAAGGGTTTGGGGTCACCTTTATAGACCCAGAAGCTATTTAAACTAGAGCTAAGTCGATAGCTCTCCGTTTGTGAGTTCATTTACTACTCATTAATAATATATGTTTATAAGTGTGATCTATACTATGTATGATTATCTTTTTTAGACATCTTTCTCTGCCGATTTTCCAGTGACATTTTACCTCAAAAAAATTTAAAAGGTGATTAATTTCTCTCTATATAAGCGCTACATTCTTAATTTGTTTTGTGTGTCTGTGATACATGCGACTACAAACACCGCAGCCCGTGGAGACTAAATGAGTCTCTACTAACAGACCCACAATACTGCGACACAGTAAAAGACGACCTCTCCCACTATTTTGCCACGAACCAAACTCCAGATATTACGCCAGAAACAGTGTGGCAAGCTCACAAACCAGTAGCTTATAGGGAAAGCTAGTGCACTAAAACGAGCAACCCAAATAAAAAGAAAGGAATAGTTGACAACCTTGTACAACCTAAATAGACAGAACCAACTAGCACCAACCCCGCAACTAAAAGAACAAATCAGACTAGTCATAGACGAAGCTAAAAAGCATGACCTAGTAAAGCTGGGATTCACCATGTGGAAACTCCAGGCAGCACACTACACTCAGGGGAATAGAGTGACCAAACTACTAGCAAGGAGACTATCACACAGGAACGCACAACCAAAAATCACATACATTCTGAATTCGGAAGGGGAAAAAAGGGTAACACCCAAGGACATCAGTGATGTTTTTGCTGATTATTACGCAACCTTGTACAATCTGGGACAAGACCCAAACACCCCCAGCCATCACAAACAAAAATAGAACAATATATAGAGGGAGTCACTCTGCAGAGTCTAAATGAGGTACAGAGGGAGAGCCTACAGGCCTCTATCACGGAGGAAGAAGTCCTACAGGTCATAGCGCGCCTCCCAAATGGGAAAGCACCGGGACCCGACGGGCTCACCAATACATATTATAAAAAATTTGCCACCACCCTTGCACCACACCTAGTAAACATCTTTAATGCCATCACCCATAAAGCCCCGGCAGACATGCTAGGTGCCCACATCATAACGCTGCCAAAACCAGGAAAACAACCCACAAGCAGACAAAACTACAGGCCAATATCACTACTCAACACTGACGCAAAAATATACGCTAAAATACAAGCAACTAGGCTGAAACACATTCTCCCCACACTGATACATGATGACCAGGTGGGCTTTACCACAGGCAGGGATCAGATAATACAAGGAAAGTGATCAACCTCATGCACAGCCTAAGAAGAGGCCAGACAGAGGGAGTCCTGCTCTCGCTGGATGCAGAAAAGGCCTTTGATCTCCTTAATTGGCCTTTCCTAGAGGCGGTGCTCCACAAATACAAATTTCCCAGACTATTCATAAACGCGGTAAGGGCACTATACTCACATCCCACAGCAAAGGTCCTTAATGCAGGATTCGTATCCAAACAAATCACTATAACGAACGGGTCCAGGCAGGGATGCCCCTTGTCCCCACTATTATACATTTTAGCACTGGAACCATAAGCAGCCTCAATACGGGCAGAACCATCCATAGGAGATAGGGAGTATAAGCTTAATCTATTTGCAGATGACATCCTAGTTACCCTCACGCAGCCCCTGATCTCCTTACCAAACTTGATGTCACACATTGAAACATACGGCGCAGTTTCCTATTATAAATTGAATGTCGCCAAGATGCAAGCATTGGGGATGCACATAAACGAAAACCTCATGACCAGACTGAGCAAGGCATTCCCCTTAGACTGGAGACATGACCACCTGACTTTTCTGGGTCTCAAACTTACAAAAAACCCTGCTAAACTATTCCACCACAACTATGTGCGTATGCATAAAGAATTCCCAGACTCCATGCAGGCATGGAAGGGGAAGTTCCTATCATGGACGGGCCACATAGCAGCGGTAAAAATGTTGCTAATACCTAAAATCCAATATCTTTTTTGTACACTACAAATACCTTTATCGAAGCAATACCTCAAAAACATGCAACACACCATTAACACCTTCATCTGGGAGGGGAAAAAAGCAAGAGTAGCAGCGGGGATTCTACAACAAGCGGTCCGCAGAGGAGGATTAGGTCTCCCGAACTTGACAGCCTATTACAGGGCAGCGTATCTCCATAACATAGCACAAATAAACCTCCCAACCAATGCACCACAATGGGTGGCCATAGAATCACACTGGGCGCCCAGACAGGACCTGCAAGCGCTAGTATGGCAGCAAAAATGCCCCAGGCACACCCAGGACAAACTTTTGCCCAGCACCCAAACCCTATTACAAGTATGGCACAAAATAAGAGATAAACTGGTGGCGAAACAAACACTTCCCCTGGCCACACCGATACAAACAATAGGGCTGGAAATCCCAACCTTCCCGTGGAAGACATGGGCAAGAGGGGGGATACACCACATCTATCAGGTAATCGACAGGGGGCGCCTGAAACCACTTCCAGCTATCCAGGAGAAATACACACTGCCTACCAAGGTCATATTCTCATACATGCAACTAAAATCATACGTGTTAAGTAAATTAGGCGATGAAGAAGATCCGGAAGACATGATAAGTATGTCGAGGTTCGAAAAACACTGTGTGGGTACAACGAAATTAGGGAAAACTCTATCCTGGGAATACCAGGAGCTGATCACATCTCAAGCACAGACATTAGACAAGATCTAACAGGCGTGGCACCAAGAGCTGGGACAGATAATCCCAGATGACACATGGGATAACACATACTTGGCACACCAAGGACTCACAGCATGTAACACACATTTAGAATTACAACGCAAAATAATGTACCGCTGGTACTTAGTGTCAGATAAACTGCACAGGATGTGGCCAAACACCAACAACAAATGTTGGAGATGTGGGAGAGAGGTTGGGACAATGCTACACATCTGGTGGTCTTGTGCCACGCTCAGCACATTTTGGAAGGAGGTAACCCAGCTACTACAAAAAATGCTACCAACACCAAGGCTAGATAACCCACAAACGTGTATACTGTTCATGTTGCCAAGGGGCATGCCGAAATACATTAAGACAATACTCTACCACACCATCATATCAGCAAACCTGATGATATCCAGATTGTGGGAAAAAATGACGCCTCCCACAATTGAGGGCTTGATAAAACAGGTAGAACTAAACTGGGAGTATGAACTCATGGCAGCAGCACAATTTGGGGCACGCACACACATACATGAGGCACACAGGACATGGATGGCTAGTACAAAGCCCGAGGTACGAGAGCTAGAAGTTATAGACACACTAGAAGGTAGAGCGCAAACCCCCTACCAAGCCCCACAATGGGTGGGGTCGACACCACCCAACAGATGTAATGACATACACCCCAGCTAACGCTAACTAGCGTACAGTGCGTAGAGTAGGAATAGAAGAGCGCATAATGCACTGCCCAAAAAGAGAGGTGGGGGAAAAGTCCCGCCGAACAACACACAACACAAACAAACACCTAACGCAAGAAGGCACAATGTACATACGTTAAACTATGTGAAAATTGTCTTGGAAACTCTTCGTCAATTGTACAAATGGTAAATGTACCTAGAAGCTTATGTATATATGTGATTATCTACAACCTGTCTCCCTTCCCCCCCCTCCCTTCTCTTCCTTTCTGTACCCCAACCCACCTAAAGTTATGCACCAATGGAAAAAAGTCAATAAACTTTAAATTACGAAAAAAAAAAATACCATCACTTGAAATATCCAAAATATGTTTTGATGGGAATAAATTACATTGGCCAGCTTCAAAAATGTCCCAAATAGGACATGGGAATATGATGACCAGCTGAGAAATTTCCAAGTTGGAAAACTGGAATGCGCATCCTCCAAATTTAAACCCCCAGAGAACCATACACATGGAGGGTATCATTGTACTCAGGAGATGTTGCTGAACACATATTGGGGTGTTCTTTGGCAGTAACTCTTAAAGTTCTCCGTACATATATTCTTAAATTGCTATGTGTGTCAAAAAAATAACCAATCTTTAAATTTTTTTATTTCATAGATTGGTGGTAAAATGGTTGCATGAAAAGAGTCCAAATACCCCAGGTTTGATACCTTAAATATATACATTTGAAGGGTTATTCAGGGATTCATGACAGATATCAGTGTTACAATGTAACTTGTATTCATTTTGAAAAAAAAAATGGTTTGGAAATAGCAAAGTGCTACTTGTACTTATAGCCCTATAACTTAAAAAAAAAAAAAAGCTAAGAACATGTTAACATTGGGCATTTCTAAACTCAGGAGAAAATTTAGAAACTATAAGGCATGGGTGTTTTTTTGAGCAGTTGTAAATGCTTAACAGATTTTGAAGGTCGAAGTTAGAAAAAGTGTGTTTTTTTAAATTTTTTCTTCATATTTTATAATTTTTGTTATAGTAAATTATATGATATGATGAAAATAATGGTATCCTTAGAAAACCCATTTAATGGCGAGAAAGACTGTATATAATATGTGTGGGTACAGTAAATGAGTAAGAGCAAAATTACAGCTAAGCACAAACACCACAGAAATGCAAAAAGAGCTCTGGTCCTTAACGGTAAGAAAATAGGAAAACGGTCTGGTCATTAAAGGACCACTCTATGCACCCAGACCACTTCAGCTTAATGAAGTGGTCTGGGTGCCAGTCCAGCTAGGGTTAACCCATTTTTTCATAAACATAGCAGTTTCAGAGAAACTGCTATGTTTATGAATGGGTTAAGCCTTTCCCTATTTCCTCTAGTGGCTGTCTCATTGACAGCCATTAGAGGCGCTTGCGTGCTTCTCACTGTGATTTTCACAGTGAGAGCACGCCAGCGTCCATAGGAAAGCATTATGAATGCTTTCCTGTGTGACCGGCTGAATGCGCGCGCAGCTCTTGCCGCGCGTGCGCATTCAGCCGACGGGGAGGAGAAGAGGAGGATCGGAGGAGGAGAGCTCCCCGCCCAGCACTGGAAAAAGGTAAGTTTTAACCCCTTTCCCCTTTCCAGAGCCAGGCAGGAGGGGGACCCTGAGGGTGGGGGCACCCTCAGGGCACTATAGTGCCAGGAAAACGAGTATGTTTTCCTGGCACTATAGTGGTCCTTTAAGAGGTTGAAGTTCACTGTAAGGTAAATTAAGTCCCAATATTATTATAATTTAAATCCCACCAAATGCATTGATGTATGTTTTAGGCAGTATGATTGTATGGATATATGTATTAGGCAGTATGCGTATATGGATGTATGTATTAGGCTGTGTGTGTGTGCTTTCACTTAATGTCTACCCAGTGTGTCTCCTTTCCTAAATGTATCCTCACTGCAATCCAGAGTTTAGTGAAAAACCTCTGAGGGAATATAGTTGCATCCATTGGGGGGCAGCAAAATGGATTGTTGCCTAGGGCTGCAAGAACCCTTGCACCGGCTCTGGCACAACGTCACACCAACGTGACATTGACGTGCACACAGAGTTCCACCTGAAGCGGAAAGATCCGCTCTGAAGCTAGGAGCTGATGGCCCAGCAGCGGTAGCATTGTTTTGAGGCTGAACTCTGGTGCAATAGCAGCAGGGAGCAGCATTTTGATTTCCAGAATTTCATCAATGTGAGTGAAGACTGGAGACTGCATTAGGGGGGCAGGAATTTGTGTAAGGCGGGCTGAGCAGGGGATATGTGGAACAGGGATTCAGTGGTCTTGTAGAAGCGGGCACGACAGGGGTTTTGTAGAAGAAGGGAAGGATACATGTTTTGTAGAAGGGGGCAGGGCAGGTCTATTACAAAGTTTACAAATTTGTGCAATACATTTTTTAAATGAGCTCCTGCTCTGTAAATTGAACTTAAAGTACATACAGGAAGTTTCTGCAGGGTCTAGCAAGCTATTAACAGAGCAGAAGATTAGAAATTCTAAATTAAAAATAATTTGAATGAAAGAAGTATAAACAGTAGATGACTATTTACTAGAGATGAGCGAACCCAGACTGTAAAGTTCGGGTTCGTACTGAACATTACGTTGCAGGGCAGCCAATCAACAAGCGTTTGACTTGTTTGCCCTTAGAAGCCATCACAGCCATGCCTACTAATGTCATGGCTGTGATTGGCCAGTGCAGCATGTGACCCAGCCTCTATATAAGCTGGTTACTTAGTATTATTAAATTATGCCCCTATTCGCTATACCGCGAGTAGGAGCATGTATAGCTGTTAAAAAAAAAAACCAAAAACATTCCCCCCTCCTGAGCCCCCACCCACGACGCGCGAGTGGGGGCTTTTAATCTAAAGGGGGACCTATTGCCCCCCTGGCCCTCACCCCTGAGCAGTGGGTGGGGGCCCTAAATATCAAAAAATGGGGGGACCTATTGTCTTCCCCTGGCCCCCACCCCTGCGCTGCGGATGTGGGCCATAAATAAAAATGGGGGGGCTTACTTCCTCCTTCCTGGCCCCCACCCCTGAGTGGAGTGTGGGGGCCATAAATAAAAATTGGGGGTAACTAAAGTCCCCCCCCTGGCCCCAACCCCTGAGCAGTGGGTGGGGCCATAAATAAAAATTGGGGGGGACCTAATGTCTTAACACTCAGGGGTGGGGGCCGGGGGGGAGGACAGTAGATCCCCCCTCCACATTCTTATTTAGGGCCCCCACCCGTCGTACAGGGGTGGGGGCAATAGCTTTTTTTTTGTTTGTTTTTCCAATGTTTACTAGACATGCCCCTACTCACGGTATAGCGAGTAGGGGCTGAATTTACTAATACTAAGTAATCTTTACTTAGTAAATTTGACTGAAAAAACTATTTAGGTCTTTCTGCCTTTTGGTAGATAGCTCCCTAATACCGTGGGAATTAGGGAGTTATCTACTAAGCGTCTGCTTATTTTATGTATTTTGTTATTTTAAGTTATTTCCTTATCCACATTTGTTTGCAGGGACTTGTCCTATTCTTACCCCCATTTTACTTCCTTTTGCAGCCCTCTAGCCCTTTTCAGGACTTTTTTAGAGGCATTTTTGTGCCCAAAAGTTTGGGTACCTATTGACTTCAATGGGGTTCGTGTTCGGGGGTTAAGTTCCGGGTCAAGTTCGAGCCCGAACCCTGACTTTTTTTCAAAGTTCAGCTGAACCTGCCGGACCCGAACATCCAGGTGTCTGCTCAACTCTACTCTTTACAGGAAGTGTTTAGGAAGGTTGTGCAGAGAGGTGTGAGTAGGGCTGCATAAACAAATGTAACTCCTAAATGGCAATGAAATTAAGCTTTCATTATGGTAAGGTGGTTTTGGTGAATACAGTGTCCCTTTAACCATATAACAGGTAACACATTTGTTATGCTTTTAATTAGTTTACAATAGTGAACATTTTAACATTTTCTGCTTTTATATTTAGTTATACAAATGTTATCAATACACAAATAGAACTGGACACAAGCAGTAAAAAAAATAAAATAAAAAATGATTGATCTTTCATCTAACCTACAGTTTAGTCACAGTAAATCAATTTAAATGCAACTGTAAAAGGAGTTTATTAATACATATCATTGCCATGGGTATGTATATACACAGCTTAATACAATATGGGCATTTTAAATTGTCTGACAAATTATACATAAATGCCTTATAAACAGATTGGCAATACTGAATATTAACCATAGATACAAAGTTAACATTCAAAATGATGTGTTATTCCTTTAATTTAACTGTCATGAAAAATTGAAGTGACATTTGCAAATGAAAGTGACATAAATGCATTACAGTTTAATAAATAAAACCATGGAACAAAATTAAACAATCGAAAGACATCTAAAGAAGACATGAGAAACAATATTGCAATAATGTGTGAATGAAGGGACTAATAAAAGCTTAAGAGTCAACTAGACACTATTCAAATTAATTAGCAGTATTCAGAATGAGCCAAAAGATGAGTGTTTCTTTTATACTATGTAGATCTCCGTAAGTTAGTGCTGGATCATAAGTGTCAATCAACCAACATATTAAAGTTGATATTCAAAGAATTATTCCATTGTGCCAATCTTGTATTAGTGAGCATGAATATAACCACATCTTCAATATATATTGAAATTATTTTAAATATGTTAATCATTGGAATATTGTGTGTTTCACAACTGGTCACTTAAGGCATCGGGGGCGTGTGGGGAATTTTAATTTTTTTTTTTAGTTTATCCAACACATTTGGTTCTGGCACTCCTCATTAACAAGTCGCTATTCAATGAAAAAACTGTGCTGTCTTGGGAGGTCTGCAAATCTGAAACTGTATGCTGGTGACTTTGGTTT